TGGGCTTAGTTCTACCAGTATAAATATTATTCTGCTCAAACACTTTCAGATTTTGGAACTGGATGACTTTGTGTTCACTGTGTGCATGTCCAAACAGAAGGATGCTTTCGAGCTTGGTGGGCCTGATCTTGTCTTACTGGTCTTGAAAAGCTGGCTGTTTTCAGAGCAAGTGTCTCAGAGACATTTGGTGTGCAGCCCCTACCATTGCATAGCTGACCTTGTTCATTATTCTTGAATTGGAAATGGGATATAAATGTTGTTATAGGAATGCATCTTTAAAATGTGTTGAGTTCGAAGAGCTTGGATATGGTATATTCACGATAGTGAAGTATACATACAGCTACTACAAAGGGTGCAGATTTTACAAATAACAGGCAGTATGCTGTATCTCATGCGATATGAATTTATTAGAACTCTTTTGAGCTTCTCATATGTGATGGGGCATCTTCATGTTTTGTTTTTCCTGCCTGCAGAGGATTAAAAAAAATTAGGGGGGGGAGGAAGAAAGGGCTGTTTTAAAATGTGTGAAATATATGTACACAAAACATTTCTTGTTTTACATGAAGCATGGCTTCATTTGGTAATGTTGGTAACCATCAGGAAGAAAATACCATAGTTTTTTTGTAAATATTACTTACAACAGGAAAGTGCTCTTATTAAATATTGCTCTCCCTTTCTATAAATTCTGTCAGACTGATTTTTTCACTGTGCTTTTGTGGTTGATAAAACATTGTGTGGGAAGGTGCTGCTTACCTGTTCATTCCAGTTATATTCATTTCCTTATGGAGAAATGGAATGTTAACCATCTCTGTTTGTGGAGACCAAAGCATTTTTTGGACATGTTTATACTAGAATAAATTTATATTGAAGTATATGAAACAGCTAGAGTTTCAGCCTTTTTGTTTGCCCTGTTGAAACTCACACCACATAAGCTTGATCATCCTTTTTGTGGCAAAGACTAAAGGATGAAACTTTCAGGAGCACTCAGTATTCACCTGTTTTTTTATTGCAGTGGTTTCAAGGTGGTTTTCCATCCTTCTTAATAGAAACGAAAGTTAGGGCAGTGCTGGGCACATGCGAAAATCCTACCTGCAATGTGCATTATATTATAGAAAAGACTTACATTTTTTCAGATTGCCTTAGGAGACCCGCTTAACATGGAAATTATTGTATTTTTAAGAGATAAACAATTACAGCAACCAGAACCCAAGAGTGTTTTTCATTTCAATTAAAAGAAGACACAAAAAGTCAATTAGTGCTTAAAAAAGTTGGTGAAGAAATCAGTGCAGGGGTCTGCAAGCCCATGTGTATTTTGCAGTAAACCTCTGTCCTGGTGGTTCTGTATTTTGCATGTGAGGGCCATTGCATAGCATCTGTGTTAGATGATGTTAGAATGAAATCACTGTTAACCTATGTGGGAAGGGGGGGGATGTGTTGTGATTACTTATCACCCCCACATAACCCAAAGGGGCACGTGGCCTCCCGGCAGCGCCGGTGACGCAGTGGTATTTCATGGTGGCACGAGTAGGTTGCCAAGCAGCAGCTGCTTGTGCCAAGCACCTTGTTTGGAGCTATGACTGCTCAGCACGTCTATTTGTGGCATGGAGTGAAGCACTCAGAGGGGCTGGCCAGCCACCGAGCCTTCTCTGTAAGAGTCCCCATCTGCCTCTGGCAGCCGCCGACATGGGCAGCCGGATTTGAAAGCTGTCCAGAGAAAGCAGCGTGTGAGCTGGGCAGCAGTCATCCATCAGTGATGGTGAAGCAGTGTGGCTAGTTTTGCTGTTGTTTTCTGAAGCCCTTCTCCATAGCCGCAGTGGGACACTTCCTCTCCCCTCTTCTGCCATTTCCTTTAGAACCTTTCCCACCATCAGCTTTGGCTTCTGATACAGTCCTCAGTGTGCCTGGAGGAGCCTCTGTCTCCTTCCTTCCCAATTACCTTTTCCAGTTAAGTACTCAACTTCTCCCTTTTCTGTTCTCCTTATCACTGCTTCCTTAACAGCAGGCTGTTTGGTTTTGT